TTCCCTGGAAACTAGGATGCGGAACAATGGCTTCAAACTACAAGAAAGGAGATTCCACCTGAACACGAGGAAGAACTTCCTGACTGTGAGAGCTGTTCAGCAGTGGAACTCTCTGCCCTGGAGAGTGGTGGAGACTCCTTCTTTGGAGGCTTTTAAACAGAGGCTGGATGGCCATCTGTCTGGGGTGCTTTGAATGCGATTTTCCTGCTTCTTGGCAGAATGGGGTTGGACTGGATGGCCCATGAGGTCTCTTCCAATTCTTATCATTCTATGATTCTAGGAATATCTCTTGTACAAATCTCTTTGATTGGGATGAGAATTACTCTGTTCTTAAAATCTCTGCTGCATTGTACTAACAATCCGTATTATGGTTTGACTGATGCGAAAGGCCTCTGCCTGAAACCCGGGAGAGCTTCAGCCCACTCATGCAGACAATATTGGGCTTAATGAACAAGCAGCCTTGACCTGATATAAGCGCAGCTTCCTATAGGTAGGCGGGTTGCATTTTGGTTTAGATTTCAACATCTCAACAGGGAGATGGCTTCCCATTTAGGTATGTGGAGAAGAAAACAAAAACATTCCCCATGACTTTTCATTATCACTCCCTTTGTTGGGGAAAATATTGAATACAAGATAACCTGTGCTCCCTGGAATACTAATTGACAACCACTAACACTGTTTACTCTGTCTGTTGATTTATTGCAGTCAGCCCTCTACATTTTTGGGCTTAACTTTTGTATATTTGATTTTTCATGACTTTGATTATTATGATTTTTCTTGGAATGCTTAAGTCTCCCAGTGTGACTCTATGGTCAACTTCTTCTGGAAGTTGACCACAAACTTGTGATAGATGATTTATAGATTCCTACAGAAGTGTTATCTCAGTCAAAATAAATGGTATTGCTTTTAGTGTATTGTCGAAGGCTTTCATGGCCATAATCACTGGGTTATTTCAGAAGCTAAATTTCACCACATTTGCTGGGGTTAGGGCCCTATGATTGCTTGTGAAAATGGAAAAAACCACAAATTTTAAAAATATTTGGGTTGTTTTGGGTTTTCTGGGCTGTATGGCCATGTTCCAGAAGCATTGTTTCCTGACGTTTCGCCTGCATCTATGGCAGGCATCCTCAGAGGTTGTGAGGTTTGTTGTAAACTAGGAAAATGGGGTTTATATACCTGTGGAATATCCAGGGTAAGAGAAAGAACTCTTGTCTGTTTGAAGTAGGTGTGAATGTTTCAATTGGTCACCTTGATTAGCACTTAATGGGCTAGCAGTTTCAAGGTCTGGCTTCTTACCGCCTGGGGGAATCCTTTGTTGGAAGGTTATTAGTTGGCCCTGATTGTTTCTACCAAGGAACATGAAAGGCACTGCAGACTAATTCAGCCAGAAAAGTCAGCCATAGCAGAGCGCTTGATGAACCCACCTGGACACAGCAGATTATTTGAGAACACAGAAATGCTAGACCACTCTGACAACTACCATGTCAGGATACATAGAGAAGCCATTGAAATCCACAAGCATGAGGACAATTTCAACAGAAAGGAAGAAACCATGAAAATGAACAAAATCTGGCTACCAGGATTAAAAAACTCTAAAATTATAACAATAAATAAAGAACAAAACTCAAACACAGGGGAACTCCAGACAAAAACAATCAGGGCCAGCTAATAACCTCTCAACAAAGAATTCCCACAGGCAGTAAGAAGCCAGACCTTGAAACTGCTAGGCCATTAAATGCTATTTAAGGTGGCCAACTGAAACATTCACCCCCTAGCTCCAACAGACAAGAGTTCTTTCTCCCACCCTGGACATTCCACAGATATATAAACCCCATTTTCCTAGTTTCCAACAGACCTCATACGTCAGGAGAGAATGCTTCTGGAACATGGCCATACAGCCGGGAAAACTCACAACAACCCAGGTATTTTTAACTTTTGTGGGTTTTTTCCCACCATTTTCACAAGCAAACTTGTGGCCCTATGGTGAAATTTAGCATCTGAAAGATTTATGTATTTTATCCACAGACAGCTGCAATATCTTGTAGCTATCACCTTGAATGCAACAGATTTCAGCACAAGGATCAGGGATAAGAACAATAGTGAGACCAAGACTCTTGTGTGGCTCTCCTTAGTTTCAATGAGTGTGAACAGGAACATGCTTATGGTTTGTCCCCAAACAAACAAAACAATATGTCTTGACAAATTGATGCAGTGCAATCCTATATAACTGAACACAACCCAATTCAAAATAGCCTAGAATAAATTCACTGATTCTGGCACAACTAGGCTGGTGTCCTGTTGTTAGTTCCAAATAGAGTGGAATAATTAAATCAATGAGCTTTACCTAAACACTGAATCACCATCCAACAATTGATTTAATGAGTCTACTACGTGAGATGGGATTAACCAACAGGATGTCGCCCAAGGTTGTAAATTAAAATATGGAGTAGGACTTAACTCATGCACAGATCTTAAGCATATCTAGAAAGAATGAAACTTAAATTATCATACAAAATTATTACTTGAATGAATCATAAGGGATTTTTCCAGAGTCTGCGAAAGCTACTTCTGGAAACCTATGCCCTACACACAATATAGACCAGCATAGCTATAGTTGATCCCATAGTTGCACAAACAACTCTGTGAATGGCAGCATGACTTTGAGCCTAGTAGCCAACAATGATTGATTAGCTCTGCTATCTCAAGATCAAGAGTGTAAGAGGGGCTGTGCATCAGACAACTTGCAGAACAATTGCTTGCACTATGGGACCCTAAACCAGTACTGAATAAACATAACCATTTGCTTCATGATTGATGTGCTAAGGTACTGTCCTAATTAGGATTCTGCTTGTAGAATTCCAGGATTTAATAGGTAACGCAGTCAATGCCCATATTGTTTTGGTCAGGATCCAGGAAACCAGAGGGAATGCTTAAGTGCGCATTCTCTGCTATACATATACTCAGTCCTGGTCCCCTCCATTCACCAAATCTACCATTTGCATTTATTCTCAGAAGTACAAGTGACATATTTAATACTTTGTACTATACATGTCCTTCAAAGAAAGAAATCTCAACTGCAGGACTGTACATTAGGCAGCTAGAGAACCACAGATCACAAGAGACAGTAAAATGAAGCACCTAAGCAGGGTCAAGCCTGGTTAGTATTTGGATGGGAAACTGCTGACAAATATTTGATGCCATTGCCTATATTTTGGAGGAAAGAACTAAGAAAATCTGATTAAATTAATTATGGGGGTTAAGTCATCTACTTACTTACGGCAACCCCATTAAAACCTTACCAGAAATTCTGGAATAACTCATAAAATCCACTGGACCCAATCAGTGTACATCCCATGAAGAGCTGAACTCGAAACAGAGATATGCAGGGCACTCATAGAATCATAGAATCAAAGAGTTGGAAGAGACCTCATGGGCCATCCAGTCCAACCCCCTGCCATGAAGCAGGAATATTACATTCAAATCACCCCTGACAGATGGCCATCCAGCCTCTGTTTAAAAGCTTCCAAAGAAGAAGCCTCCACCACACTCCGGGGCAGAGAGTTCCACTGCTGAACAGCGCTCACAGTCAGGAAGTTCTTCCTCATGTTCAGATGAAATCTCCTTTCCATCTGAACACGAGGACAGGATACCGTTGATACAATTAAAAAAAACCAAAAATACTTCTGGCTGGGAAATTCTGCTTGCTTTCCACTCCTTTCCATCCAGCCTCCTAAACAGAGGTTGGATGGCCATCTGTCGAGGGTGCTTTGAATGCAATTTTCCTGCTTCTTGTCAGGGGGTTGGACTTGTTGGCACACAAGATCTCTGCTAACTCAATGATTTTATGATTTCAGGATTCCTTTGTTTCTGAGCTTTGCCAATCCTCCTTGAATGTGTTGCTCCCCAGCAGCCTGGGTTCAGATCAATCCACATTTAGCAGACCTCTGTGACCAACCACCATCCCAGCCTGGAACCGATTCCTAGGGTGCTTGTGTAGGCACTCCACAGCATACCTCTTTAATCCACAATCCTGACTCAGTTATGGTTGTGAAGAGGGCTGTATAGAACTGTCCTCAGATTTACAGTAATCCTAAAGAATACCCATAACAGTATTTTTACAGCATGGAGGCATTCAAACCCTGGTCTCCAGAGTCATAGTCCAACACTATAACCACAACACCATGCTGGCTGTCTAGGTTTTTCTTCGGTTAGGGATACTCAGAGGTGGTCTTCCCAGTTCCTCCCCCTGAAATACGGTATAGCCTAGAGTAGTGGTTCACGAGCTTCTTTTTGGACCAGGGACCACTTGACCAGGGACCACTATGACCAGGAACCACTTTGACCAGGGACCACTTGACCAGGAATCACTTTGACCAGGGACAACTTTGAGCAGGGACCACTCTCCAACATTAGTATCAAAAGGGTTACAAATCAGTTTTTGGTCAACTTTAGATTTGGTTTGGTTATTTGGTGTGCTAATTCAGAAAATTGCATTGTATAGACCACATCAGTTCTATATGACATCCAGTAGTTGCCATCTGCTCGCCCACAGAAAACCATATTTAATAACCTAGAGCCCCAGACCTTACTTTAGGTCTCACAGCCCACAGGTTGGGAACCATTGGCCTAGAAGACCTGTACCTGTATCCATCTATGTGCTAACCAGGGATGGTCTTGCTTAGCTTGTAAGATCAGATGGTGTCTAGTGCTTTAGGGTCTACCTTAAGTACTTGGGAGTAAATCAATTAAGGTATATAGCTTCAATCATCCACATTCTGCTTACAGTCCTCTGGTTTTTAATGGAACTGTTTTGGAATAAATGGGCTCAGAGCTGCTAACTAAATTGTCCACATATAATCTGTGTTACAAATTGCATAAACACATGGTCCAGATGGATTGCTGCCAGGTCTCCTGAGATTTCTTGCGGGGACATGAGGAGGGGAAAGAAGACAACACTGTGAGGAAAGAAAATTATTGTGACTACATGGTTCTGTTTTTACCTGGCACTGATGTTCCCAATGCAACAAACACAACTGCAGTTACTGAATCCTTCAGGCCAATGGTGCAGCCAAAATGGGACGCCAAGTCCCCAATGAAGGCGGTCAGAAGGCCGATCATGAGGATGGATACAACAAAACAAGCCCAACCGTTCCAGTAGTCCGTTGGGGGGACAAAGGCAAAGAGGACTTTCCAGAAGACGGTCAGAAAGTGCATCACGTAATCAAAGCAGGATGGCAGCTTCTCTTCTCCACATTCATCGTCATCATCATCCTCTCCTGGAATATGAAAATCAAAGAGGGACACAGAGAGAGAAAGAGAGAGAGAGATGTCAGTGGCAAACTGGCTTTTCTGTCAACAAGGACTGATGCACATAACAATGGCATTTGTGGTAACGTTTCCATGATAACAAAACTAGTCAAGACCACTTGGGATCAAAATAACTGGTCTTGATGGACCAATAATCCAGGAAATAAAAATAAAATAAAAAACAGAATAATTATTTTTTTTAAAAAAAATGGAAGTCAAGATCTGAGTGTGAGGAATGTACTCTCTCCCAGACATTGATGGACTACAATGCCCATCAGCCCCAGCCAAACATAGCTGGTAGAGTTGCCAGGTGTCACTCATTATATGGAACGTTCCTTATTATATGGAATGAAGGTTGGAAAACTCTTCCCTTTTTAACAAGATGCCAAAAATGTCCATATTTTGGGGTGTGGGCACAAAGTCAGAAATAGTGCATTGCGTAATTTATCAATGTAAACACAATATGGTGATTTTATAGAGAAACACGTGGCAAAGTTAACAGAAAACAATACTTCCATCTGGCACTTGAGTAGAATACAAACCTACAAAGCGTGGCTTCCTGATTGCCAACCCTGCATGTTATGAATTTAAATTGCCCCTTTCTGGGATTTTGAAAACCTGGTAATATCAATAGTCAATAATGAGGACTGATGGGAGGTATACTCCAACAGCACACCATTCCTCTCCTGCATAACATGGCTCAAATCCTATTATTATTAGTCCCATCTAATTGAGATCTATTCATTCACTGGGATTTATGTACATGTTGATTCACCATTTAATGATTGATTAGAGGGTTCTAGTCTGACTGGGTTGAATTAATAGGATACAGGCCACAGCAGTGCATATTCATCTGCTTTGTTATTTCTGCATAATATTGCTTCCAAAACCAGTTCACTGATATTTTGGTAGTAGCAAGCAGGGACATGGGGGGGGGGGGGGGGGGGGGGGGGGGGTTAAACTTCTTTTACAGAATCATGAAGAGTGTTTCCATAACACAAAATAATTTAAATACTGTGGTTCATTCTATATTTTATATAGACTTAAGTAAATGTATTTATATAGACTTAATTAAATGTATTTTTTATTTTAGTTACAACGTTTCATGTCTTAAAATAACTCAAAATAACTGTTAATTGATCATTTATAGTTACAAAAGAATACCACAATGAAAACACTTGAAAACTGTGTCAATACACTTTGACAGAAATCAGGTTCCATCGATAAGTTCAGTGGACACTCAAGTGCAAGTCCAGTCAGGCTTTCTTGCCCCATTGTGCTTCTTATGTATGCTTTCAAACATTTAAGAGTTGAAACGACCTGTATATAGCTATGGGAACCCTACTATCTGGAAAAGGGGAGCGGGCAGCAAGGAGGGAAAGGCCTAATGCTCCATTGGGAACATGCCTCCTACCTTATGGTGAAGCAAAGAGCACAGTAGGGGGGCAGAGCAGCCTTAAATAGCGTGTAGCTGCGCCCCTGTCAACTGCCCCCACTAAGTCTGGTCTCCTTCATGAGGGCCTTCAAATCCCCCCATGCCTTAGGCTTTGCCTACCAGTTAAGGGTGGCCCAACTTGGTTGCTTTCACTATATTGGCCATTACTGCAAGTAATGACAATGTGAATAAATTGTTAAAATTTGCCTGAGATAGTGCTTAATTTTTGCTTCTCATAGACTTAGAATGGGGATTTGGTTAACCAGTTAAAATTAATAAGTAAACCAGGTATTTTTTAACCTGAAAATGTGGGGTGTGTGTGATGAACCCCTACCTCCCCCCCCCCCCCCCCCCCCACCGCTTGGCTACCTCCTTGCTAGCAGGAGGTGGCAGTAATAGGTATCTTCACCACCCACAATGCATACCAAGTCTTTCCCAAACTGGCTTGCACACCCTGATCCATACAACTCACCATAATAATGCAACATAATATTAAAGTTTTCTTTTGTTTACAATGATGTTCGTATTCGTCACTTTGACACTGCAAAACTAATAGAAATTCTTTGTGTTTCAAAGAACAGATTGTATAAAGGCACATATACAAGATCTTTTCAAAATGGGGCTTTCAACCCATTAGATATATTTTAGTGATTTGTCGTTTGTCCATGACTAAAGGATATATTGAATTACTCACAGTCTCAATATAGGTGCCTTTTTTTGAGAAAGGGAAAAAGTGTAGGATAGCATGCAAGTCTCACCCATGCTTAGAAGAAAAGGTCCCTTATTTCAGCAACAAACCATAAGATGGAAAGGCTGTCTTTAAAGGGGTAAAACCCACACTTCAGCAACAAACAGACCCTCAAGTAAACAATCATGGCATTAACTCAGCTCTGCACAGATGAAAATTATAGCCTCCTGATTAATTTATGAACACATTAGTAGACTAATCTAACTAATCTACTGATCAAAATGACCATAGCACCTGTTCTGTAAATTTTATATTGTATTCTCCAGTATATTTCTCCTTGTTATAAAACTCTATGGGGGATGTATGTATGCATGCGAAAGCACCAGTTGTCGCTCTGGGACCAGAGTGAAGAAGGGGAGCCAGGAAGACAGTTCCAGCGTGTCTCCTGGGTCATCAGAGCCCCTCCCCATAGCAACAATATGGTAATATATAATACTAATATGGTGCTGTCCTTATAAAATAATATAGTATATTGTAGGTTAAGGTAAAGGTTAAGTCCAGTAGTGTCCGACTCTGGGGTGTAGTACTAATCTCCATTTCCAAGCCGAGGTGCCGGCCTTGTCCGTAGACACCTCCAAGGTCATGTGGCCACCATGACTACATGAAGCGATTTTACCTTCCCGCTGGAGCGGTACCTATTGATCTATTCAGATTTGCATGTTTTCAAACTGCGAGGTTGGCAGAAGCTAGGGCTAACAGCAGAAGCTCACACCGCTCCTCGGATTTAAACCTGCGACCTTTTGGTCAACGAGCTCAGCAGCTCAGTGGTTTATTATATTGTATTACATTGTATTATATTGTATTGCATTATAATATTCTTATCAATATTTTATACATATAATATTGAGAAGTATATTATAATGTAATACAATATAATAATAATACAATATAATAATACAGTTTATATTACATGTAATATTACTAATAATATTACAGTATAGTGGTATTCTACTATATAGTAATATAGGTAAAGGTTGTCCCCTGAAATTCAGTCATGTCTGACTCTGGGGTGTGGTGCTCATCTTCATTTCTAAGCTGAAGAGCCGGCGTTGTCCATAGACATCTCCAAGGTCATGTGGCCGGCATGACTGCATGGAGCGCCATTACCTTCCTGCCGGAGTGGTACCTATTGATCTACTCACATTTACATGTTTTCGAACTGCTAGGTTGGCAGAAGCTAGGGCTGACAGCAGAAGCTCACTCTGCTCCCCGAAATCGAACCTGCGACCTTTCGGTCAACAAGCTCAGCAGCTCAGCACTTTAACCCACTGTGCCACCGGGGGCTCCATATAGTCATATTATATAGTAATATATAATACTAATATTGTGCTATGCTAATAACATAATATATTGTATGTACATATAACTTGTAAGCCACTCCAAGTCCCCTTCAGGGTGAGAAGGGCAGGATATAAATGTTGTAAATAAATAAATAAAGGTATTTAGATCAGCTTGTCATTAATATGCCAACCACTGGGACATATCTCTGGCTACATATATGCTGGGAATTAACCAATTACTCTGACACTTAAAAGTAAATGAAATATCTGCATCAAAGAGGTCCTGGTGGCACATGAAGAGATTCTGCAGCCTATAATGATGCACAAGAAGTGTGATTTGTATCACACATGCCATGGCAATTGCTATACTGCTCTTGTGGATGGAGCATTGGCAGTATTGCTCTCTACGTCTCAGGACATGTCTAATCTTCCAGATCATTGGCTGTAGCTTGGCTGCAGTCTTCCAGTCTTGGTTTCTCCTAACCTGGCTGCGGGTACTTGCAGGTACTTCCAGCTCTTTGCCTGACTAACAACCTACTTGGACTCAAACCCAGTTTCAATCTCCTTCTTTCCCCAATCCCTCTTTCCCAGCCTCCATGGCCATTTTCTTTGCAAAATTTGGCCTTTCCAGACATAGCTGGACATTGTTTTTAGGTATCTGCTGATGCTAAGATCCTACTACTGTGAATCCCAGGGGCCTTTTTGCCTTGCTTCTCCTTCTTGTTGCTGTTGTTACATGTCTGGACAGAGCAAGTCAGCAATGAGAGCTATAAGGAAAAGGCTACCCAGACCCAATCCCCTACTTCCCTGGCCCAATGTTTTCCTCCATCACCATTACCAACCCTTCTGGGAAAGTAAGAGATAGAGGAAAGTACCAAAGAGGAAAAAATATAGCATTTATCACCATCACAAACGTACACATTCTACTTACTTTTCTTAGACGATTCTGCAGTGGAGCAAAGGGTAAAATTAAGTGTTAAACCACCTTCAAATTTTAACTTTTCTTCCGAATTCTTTGCATTTCTCAGCAATGTCCCACTTACAATTGTACCCTTACAAGCATAGTCTGGACCGACAAAATCTAATTTTTAAGGTACCACGTTGATTCTGATGCTCATTGTGTGAAGGATAGGAAAGGTTTATCTCTGCTCACAGGAAAATCAGATGTGTCTCAAGTTATGGGTGTTGTTGCAAACTTGCAGAACTATTTTGTTGCGCTTGATCATAGAAAAAAAAGCATGCTCATGTGAAATGCAATTAAAATGCAGTTAAAGCGACCTCATTATGGATGGGAGAGGAACCTAGTTCTTATGGTCTACACCAGGCATGGGCAAACTTTGGCCCTCCAGGTGTTTTGGACTTCAACTCCCACAATTCCTAACAGCCGGGAGGCTGTCAGGAATTATGGGAGTTGAAGTCCAAAACACCTGGAGGGCCGAAGGTTGCCCATGCCTCGTCTACACTGACAGAGCTTCAGGTGGTCATGACTCTCGCATGATCTCTTCT